GTACTATACAGCCTCGCAGTCAATCTCGGCAGTAGCAATCAGCAAGTCATTGCAATATTGTGTGAGTGTGCCGTTAAGGCACACGGGGATGTGGACAGATGGCGCTCAACCACAACCAATGTGGCCAGCCTTGCATGTGAGACGCAATGATGAGGTGCAAGAACAAATTAAATGGGTACCCCAAAGAAAACCAAAGCGAAGATACTTCAGAAAGGGAAATAATGGACCTATTGTGCCATGTGGGAAATAATGGATCTATTGCGCTACGTGTTGCTTGCTATAGAGGTAAAACTTTTTCATTGTTGGATTGGCTCATCTCAAGTGTGCTTCATTGTGTGCAATAGAGGTAAAGTTGCTTGGATTTTGGATCTACTCATCTGCATGGAACAGGGGCTGTTGTGGTGAAAATCTAAAACACACAATGAGTCGGTGAAGTTACGAAACATTCTTGCACAATCATGCCTATTTCTTACGAAATAGTCTGTCACAGTAATGCCTTTTTTGTGGAGTTGTGTATAGCAAACATGATAACAATGTTGCATATGAAGGGAAAGCAGGTATGTACTCATCTGGATCAAGATAATGTCTGGCACGTCAAAACATTACAATGTGCAAGGAAAATGAGCGATAGCGAACTTCAGAAACCAAACAGCATCATACACATGAGACCAGCTAGTCGTGACCTCGCACCAGAAACAGAATTGCAGCACAAGTTCCACCAAATAAGAGCACAGCAAAAGCTCATAAGTGACAATGTTGGAGTAGTCTCATCATCATCAACAAAGAACCAATGTSGACATCCTATCTGGCGCTCTGCGCCCAGACTACAAATGACAGATCCTATCTAGCCTGCCTACAATGTCGTTGGTGATGTCAACATCTCCCCGAAGTACAAACTGATCTCGGCCAATGTCGTTTCGCCTCGAGCACTAGGTATGTCTCTCGTATCACTCACAACCTCGATCCCCCACTCACAGATGCCACGTGCACCCAAGGACCACTATGCGCCCCATCCAGCTGTGCGCAGCGCAACTCGACTATGGCTGCCTGCTCTCCCTGCTCGCCTGTGAACGCGTGGGCCTGGCCAACGATTAGCACAACAGCGCTTGCGCAGCATGCAGCCAGTGCCCGTATGTCGAAGGTGGAGGCAGGCCCTTTCGTAAATGGAAGTGGCCTGCCTGCTGCGTGCGGCCTGGCTGCACTGGGCCCCGGTCCGGAAGCTTCCGGTAGGCCCTGAGAGGCTGAGCCTCAGTCCAAACGAATCAGGCCCAGGGCCTGTGGTGGTTACCCGTGCCCAAATGCCAGGAGCCTGTGTTCAGTCTGTGTTGCATATCTGGCCCAGGGCGTGCCTCAGTTACATATGATAAGGGCAGCCTGGGCCTGGGCGCTTTCAACCAACTGGCGCTGCGCAACTGCCTGAATTTCCCCAGTTGCGGGGTTGTCCAAAATAGGCCAAGGTCGGGCCTGCCTAGGGCGGCCGACCTTGCTGATAGTAGGGCCCTGTAGGGCTTACCGAGGCCTTGTGCCTCACATTCCCTCCTCCACACTTCGCTAGTCCTATGAGAAGTTCATTCAATCTAGCGCTTTCCTTTCTTCAGCAACTTCTCGTAGTGGGCGACAGCCTGTGGAGCGGTCTGCATCAATTCCTCCGGGTAAACCATCTGTCCTCCTTAGGGTTAGTGTGATGTCTAAACCGAATGCGATATTGCAAATTCGGCTTAGGAGGACGTCCCTTGCCGGTTGGTCTTGGAACTGGCAACTGCTTGTGGTCCACGATGTCGTTGATGTCGACCTCTCCATCCATGGTTGGGGGCAGCATTGAGCGACGCGAGGGGAACTGATCAGTTTCTCATAAAGGTGCAAGTTTGGAGGCGTGAAAGACAGGGTAAGTCCGTTAGTGACTAGGAATCCGAATTACATATGACGGTCCATCTGGATCACCCCTGACAACATCGAGAACCTCCCATGGTCCAAAGTACTGTGGCATGAGCTTGTTGGAGATCCCGTGCTCCTGTCCTAGTTCTGAGGACTTGACCCAGACTTTGTCCCCTACTTGGAATGCAGATGGGCAGTGGTGTTTGTTCTCAAACTCTATCATCACCGCCTGTGCTTTCTGCATCTTTTCTACAGCTTGCTGCATCAGACGCTCATATTGGTAAGCGAATTCTAAGGTGCCTAGTGCGGCAGAAGGCTGATTCAGGTAGTAGAAAATCTAAGGGCGGTCTAAGTTTGAAAATCAGTAGCAGATTGTTGGGGATCATCCCTGTTGCGCTGTGCACGGCGTTGTTGTACAGACTGGCGATGAGATCAAGTTTCTCATCCCAGTCGACCTGATTGGGCTTGATGTAATGCCTTAGTAGGTGTTGTACAGCGCGATTCAGCTGCTCTGCTTGCCGATTTGCCTCAGGGTGGTTCCCAGAGGTCATCTGTAGCTGCATACCTTGTTCTGCAGCTGCAGCCTTCCACAACTCACTCGTGAATCGAACATCATGGTCACTAACAATAGACTTTGGCCGTCCAAAGTTCCTGACCCAGTTTTCCTTGATTAGTCTAATCACGTACTTCGGTTTTTGTTGTTTCGGGCATTGCAACTAACCTAGCGTACTTACTAAATTTGTCCACGATAACAAAGATGTGTCTCATTCTAGTCTTGCTGGTAGATGTGTCTCATTCCAGTCTTGCTGGTAGATGTGTCTCATTCCAGTCTTGCTGGTAGATGTGTCTCATTCCAGTCTTGCTGGTGACCAGTGTGTCCATGAAGTCCATGGATAGGCTCTCCCCGGGCCTTTTCGGAATCGGAAGGGGCTTGAGAAGCCCAAGAGGGGCCTTTGTGTGTGGCCTGTCCCTCTAACAGACCTGACAAGTATCCACGTACAGTTTGGCATCTTTCATCATCGTGGACCACCAGAAACGCTGCAACAGATTTGTTGTTGTCTTTTTGAAACCAAAATGTCTGGTGGCATTATGACACTCGCCTAAAAATAAACTACGCAAAGACTCTCTATTGGCTACACGCAAGCGTTTATTAGGGGCTTTGGCCATAATAGGCCTCTCAACTGGCCCGACGTGTTTCGCGTCGAGCAAGTGTCATAATAAACTACGCAAAGACTCTCTGTAAGCCCAGCCTCTCAACGCACACGCGACTAATGAAGTTTCGCGTCGAGCAAGTGTCATAATAGGCCCCGGCCTTGCAGCCGTCGATGACTACCTCGCCGACGAACAACACACCCTTAGGGGCTTTGGCCATAACCGTCGAAGATGCTAGTGGGTCTGATCTAGACCACTCCTCTAGCTCCTCTAAGGATTCAAACACATTCATCTACCAGAGAATCGATGGGTCTGAATGTGTTTGCGGGATGACAACAGAGTCAGTAGCTTGGGCCATCTCTCGAGATGGTGAGGGTGTGTCCACCACCTCGACCCTAGCAGGAACAACGACTATTCCTACTGGCCCGATGTGTTTCCCGAGGCGTTCCAAAACTGCTGGCCACATTGCTACCCTGAGAAGCGGAGGATCCCATCGCCTTCCCCATTGTAGGCGGGACCTTTTCCGTCACTTTCTTATTGCGGCACTTGAACTGATTATGGCCATGTTGGCCACAACGGATACAAGCCTGGCGCGTATAACGGTCTCTGCACACGTCCTCGACGAGACCCGCTTTCTCCTATGGGGGAGTGTTAGGGTCTACTTGACTTCTAGACCGGGAGCCTCCACGACGTCTACCGGCCGCCTTACCTATTTGCACTAAGGTAGCGACTGCTCCACCCCCTGAAGCCGCTACGCTGCCCGCCTCTGAACCTACTCCCTCCTGGAAGTTGTCATCTAGTTCGGTGGTGGAACCATCGTTATCGACGAACATGATGCGACCCGTCGCCTTCCAGGTGGGAGGCAGTGCTTTCTTCCTTTCGTCCGTTGTGGGTTGGTGCCCATGCCCTATCTTTGCTTCTAGGTCCAGGGCCTTCTTGCTAAACGAGGGAAAGTTGTGCACGTTGATGTTTGCCTCACCTGCCAACTGATTCCTGAGTGGCATAGGAAGATATCTCAGGTAAGTGGTTAGCAAAACCTGGGGGTCATATTGTACTCGAGGCACACAAATTAGACGGTCCACTGTGTATGTGGCATCCCTAACTGATTTGAACGCTCTATTGCTCAAAGTCAAGATCGCATCAGTGGCCTTTTGGGCCTCCTGAGGATCATGCCACCTTTCCTCCACCAGCTTAAGGAAGTCCTCTAGTTTCTGGTTGAATGCCCAAAACCGGAAGTCATGTTCGTATCCCTGCAGTTGAACTAACCCGCTCAGCCACCTTGCAGCACTCCCCTCTAAGTAGGAGGCAGCCACAAGTTCTTCCTCGTGCGGCAAGGTCAACTTGCACTTTAGGTAGATCGGCACTGACCTCAACCATGTGTCAATCTCTTCGCCCCTCTTGTCCGGTACCTGCGCCACACCAGGCTGTGGACCCTGGGGCGCAGACTGTTGCACTAGCTGCTGTTGCACCTGTGTGCCCTGCGGCTGTGCTGGCTGTGAGACAGCAGGCTGCCCAGTTACGGCGGTTTGCAACGGAGGTTGGGAATACACTGTCTGTACAAGAATCTGTACACTAGGACCTGCTGAGAACCGGCCTGTCAAAGGCATAGCTAGGGAAGCCGTCTGGACCAATGCTGGAGCGACTACATATGGGGATACTCCAGTCACCAATGGGACGAAAGGAGGAGGCTGTACCACCGGCCAGGCACCGGGCCCTGATGGTGATGGTGTTGCCTGAACTCGCCCGACCAGCACGGCCAAGCTCCTCTGAATGTCCTGTAAGAGAGCCGTTTGGTGGTCCTGCATTTCCACTACGTCTAGCAGGACTGTCCGCGGGGTCCTCACATCATCATCCATGCTTGTCAGGTCCATCGCCTCTCACTCACTAACGCCTGCTTGTCTCCGCTGCATCCTTGATCTTTTCCTGATCATTCTTTCTTTCTTTGCCTTTATCTCCCCTAAAGCCTGCTGTAGCTGTGCCTAGCAAGCAGCTGCTCGCTGTACGGCGACCTCCTCGGGAGTCAACACTAACGGCTTGCCATGACACCAGTGGACTGACTCAGGGTCTGTGCAGTCGTTGCCCCTACGGTCCCTGAGCTGCTAGCCTAGGAACTCTGCTGCGCAGCAGTTGCCATGGCTGCTGAAGCAGCGGCTTCGCTTGCGAACGCTTGCTTGCCTCTGCGGCCCTAGCTCTCCGCTGCTGCTGCTGTCTCTCCCTAAGCTGGCGGAACAGTAACCTGTCACCCTCGGGTCCTAATGCCACGTGGGCTATCGGGCGTCTTGCCGATCGCAAGATCCTATAGTCCGGGTTAGGTACCTCCCTGTCGCTCATAAGCTACAGCACTATACACAATCTGCACTAGAACACTCTAGATGCCTACCGCAGCATAAGGCACAGACCAATTTTAAAATATTTGGTGGCTACGTTAAAGTATACGCAGTTGGGTCCAAAAGGTAAGTTCAGATTACTACAAAAGAAGCTATTTTTACTTGACTACAGTAGTCCGCAAACAGAAAGCAGTTCTACCTATGCTGTCTGTCAGATGTCCATGGCTGTACATCTAACTAATCAAAATATAAATAGAATCATTTGTGGGCTGTTGGCAGAATGGAATCATTTGTCCAGCGGCCTAGCTCAGTTGGTAAGGCATGCAAGTGGCATTCGGGATGTCTTGGGTTCAATCCCCATTGGCCTCATGCACCTTCCTGGGCAAGCTTTGTGCCCGCCACCTAGAGATATGCCGTTGGTCCCCCCGAGTGGCATTGAGCAGACTGCTGATGTTCATAGGGGGAGGGGACCGGAAGGGAGGCACAATGACTGGCCCATCGAAGAAGCTCGGTCCTTGTGCTACCGGCTGACCCCTGGCCGGTAGCGCCCACCTGCTGTAGCAGGTATCGCACCTGCTGGAGGGTGCAGCTCCCGCATGTTCCCTCGTTGGAGGCTTGAGCACGGCCCCAGGGCCTGTGGTGGTTACCCGTGCCCAACTGCCCGGAGCTTGTGTTCAGTCCGTGTTGCATATCTGGCCCAGGGCCTCCCTCAGTTACATACGATAAGGGCAGCCTGGGCCTGGGAGCTTTCAACCAACTGGCGCTGCGCAACTGCCTGAATTTCCCCAGTTGCAGGGTAGTCCAAAATAGGCCTAGGTCGGGCCTGCCTTCACTTAGGGCGGCCGACCTTGCTGATAGTAGGGCCCAGTAGGGCTTACCGAGGCCTGGTGCCTCACAAATGTCTTCAACGGGTATGTACTCATCTAGGATCAAGAAAATGACAGTAATGCCTATGTGAAAGGCGAGTGTTTTCAACCCAGGTGTGTACTAGTCTGCCACGTTTAATCAAAACATTACAATATCTAAAATATCGTATGCAACTTGATAGAAGAGGTAAGGCCGTTTGAATCTGGATCTACTCATCTGGGTTGAAAAGGGGTTGTTGTGGTGACAGTTTAAATCACACGTGGAGTTGTGTATAGTGAACATTGACAACACAGATACATGTTACATGGTTCTGGGGGGTACTTATTGTGTGCCCGGAGGTTTTCTATTGAGCTGCCATTTGTGGGGGGGGAGGGGCAGGGTCTGCCCCTGCTCCCTTTTTGTGGCCCTGGATGCCCGATTTTCAGGGGTGCACCGGGCATAGTGTGCGCACACAGGTACCATACATTGTGCACACCTTGGGCGCGTGCAATGTGCACCTTGGTACACGTGCATTGTGCTGCAGCCGTGCAGCTTGGGCATGTGCAATATGCACTGCAAAAGTGGTCTGAAGACTCTGAAGAGTCTGAACTAGATTTTTTTGGCAGTACTCGTGTTTTGTGGTAGTTTCATTCTGGTAATCGTGTTTGTTAACTTATGTTTTGAATGAATAAGGTCAGCATGATATGCGTGTCTTCTTACCTACTGATTATTATTTGACTTTGAAGTTTAGTGAATTTAATAATTTAACTCGAACGTCGTGGGTGGTAATGTTTCTCTCCCTTTTGCTCTGACGTGTTCAGTGTTCTGTTCGCTGCTGTTTCTCTGTTATGCTTCGTCGTCTTTGCTCTGCAGCCAGTAAAGCGGTTTGTCGGTGGTCATAAAGGAGCGGTGTCCTGCCTGTTGACATTCTTTTCTGTTCAAGGAGAGGTATTGTACTATTTTTTAGTATTATAGTCTTTTCATTTTGGTTTTGGGAACTCTCGTCAGTCACTCCTTTCAATGAATGTGGGATTTCTCCTCTCTTTTCTGTTCAAGAAATGTACTAGTTAAACCACCACTACTGCCGTCACTCTTGGGAAAATGCAAAAACTGGCTGTTTTCCCACTTTTTTTGAACTTTTCGGGGGTTGGACGAGGCTCGGCAGTTGGGCTTTGAGGGCCCCTTTGAAAAACAAAAAGAAACAAAAGATCATGTGAGGGAAGGTCATGCACGAAATTGTACTCACACCAAAACTCTGGGGTGAGCTCGCGGACAGACTTGTACTTTCTAGTATCTGAAACGGTTTTCACCTTTGCAGAGGCAGATGCAGATCCCGGGGTTTGATCCCCAGACCTCACCTCACCCATGTACAGTATCGAGTTGAC